ACCTGACTTTTAATCCATAAATTGTCTCAGACTCTGAATAAAATATTACTGAATTCGGAATAATTTTAAATACATATAATCTCTGAAAACTAAATAAAATTATTTTATCCAAAAAAAATTATTAAACATAGTTCATGTGGTCAACATTTTTTGTTGATAAAACGTAACATATATGTTCGCCGTTAAACTTTGAACTATTAAATAAACGTATGAATTAAAAATAAAAGTTGATTTTAAATAACACTTGAAAAAAAAATAAGCAGTTCATATTTTATACTCCGTTTGGAAATTTTACAAATTGTTATTCATGTTTGAGGTTATTTATGTATTATTATTCCATAATTCGCATTATAACGGATAGATGATTGAATTTTAGGTTTTTCGTACTGTTTGATGTTGTTGGGAATAATAGTTAAGATTTCCACTTATGAAAAATATACGATTTTCGTAAATAATTGTACGAGAGTTTTTGAAATAGTTCTTTGATTGGAATATAATCGATGGTTTTGAAATATTATGGAGACGAGAAATCTGAAACCGAAGCTTTTTCATGTGATTGTGGATATTAAATCGCTATCGATATTTAATAACATGAGAAAGTCTTTTGTATTATAGGAATCATACGAGGCCTGTGGTAAAGTGGTTTTCATATAAAGACCGATAAAACGTAACTTATGTCTTGTGTTTGCTCTAAACTCCTCCCTTCGTAATATTGCCGTGGGTAAAATATAAAAAAAAAATTCACCCATTAAAAGCAGCAGAACACATAATTAAAGGCTCAATAATGCAATATGATTTTATCGAGTTGATCAAAATGTTAAACCTTTATAATAAATACTTTATGTATTAATAAATTGTTAATTAATATAGTGTTGAGTAGGTTATATTTACCTCAAAGTTATACGAAAATATTCATAATGATAACTATTTCTTTTATTCTCTAAATAGTTTTGGGTCGATAATATTTATCTTAACTGTAGTTTATTTCTATGTTGAATTTAATAAAAATGTAAAATAATCCAGATTTAATAAAATTATATATTTAGTAAAATCGATGTATATATTTTATTTATTATACCACTCATTCACAAATTATTGCTACATCTCAAAAACCACAGATCATATGAACTTGAAATTTGACATAGTGATTCTATTGACACTCTAAATTTGTAATAAGAAAGGATTTTCTGGAATTCTAACCCTAAGGGAGTAAAAAGGGATTAGAACGAAAAATGGTAAAAAGAAAAAAATCACTTAGCAGGAAATGCTAAATTACGACTATGAAATTTGGTTATTAGTTTAGTTTTATGATGTAGAGAGCTCATAAAAAAAGATTTTTTTCTCTACATATTAAGATCACAGTATGTATAAACTTAAAATTTGACATGTGGTCTCTCCTATTACTCTAGCCGCGTAATAAAAATACATTTAAAAAAATATTGACACTAGCAAAGACGGTTGCATGTGTAAAACCGGGTAATTTACCGTACAACCGAAACTAACTTCCTAATTCATTTGAAATTTTGGTTTATTTGTTTTATAACCACCAGTTACATCATACTAGGCTTAAAATAGTGTATAGTATTTAAAAGTTGAGTCTCGGCCAAGACTATTCCGTAACCGTGTAGTACACAGATGACCAAAAAATTATCTAGATAAGATAATAAATAACTATTTAAATATTTTTCTGGATAATAGATAAAATATAACAAAATATATCTAGGTAAAAAACTAATAATTTTAAAAGTTGCAGTATTTAAAAGTTACATTTGTAAAACGTTTATTTTTCAAAAAAAAAAAAAAATTAATTATTTTTTATGATTTATTTGATTTGAAATAATCTTCTGTATTTAGTTAATTTAAACATAAAATAAGTACATAAACCTATTTTTATTTTTATAAACTCAATTATAATTTTTTAAACATAAATATTTTACAATAGTATAAATAAACTATTTTTATTTATTGTTATTTTATATTATTAATTATTAATTAATTTAAAAATCTCAGTATTTAAAATGACTAACAAAAAAATGAATCAACCTATTATATTTCAAATAATTAATAATCAAAAATGTATCAATTTTTATTCGTATATTACTAAACACATATGATTTAAACATACACCTATTTGTGATAGAAGTATACATGATACATAGGTACTATAATACCTATGGTAGTGTATAATACTACCTTGTTATTTTGTAATATTCTAATTTAATTCAATGGTCATCACCTCGTCTTTGATTCACATGCAGTTGATTAGAATATGTTAATTTAAAATTAAAACGTACATACTAGGGATGGACAAAAAACATTGATGTTTTATATCGATGTATTGATGTTTTAACATCGATGATTTGTTATTGATTAACCGTTTAAACATCGATTTTTATGTTCGAAATATTTTTTTTCTTTTGTATTATTTTAGTATGCAGTATACAAAAATCGGTATACAGTATAAACTATACAGTTTCAGGGCTCGTAAGTTCTTGCACTAAAAAACGCATAAATAAAGATGCAATAATGCACTAGCTTTCATCAAATATACATTAAAAATCCTTAACTATGCACGAAAAAAACATGGATTTTTTACAATAATAAGAATTATCCATTTATATCTTTAAAAGTTATAATTTTCCTTCGGTTAAATTTTATCAGAATTATTATTAATGAACATACGTTGCGACGAAAATAGATAGATTGCAATGGACACGCCAATAGGAGGAGAGTGGTAGTGGTACGCAATAACGTTGTTTCCGTCGTATTGCTTTTAACTTATAAAATTTAATGCCATTAAAAAATAAAAATAGTGATATAATACTAAGATTTTAAAAACAAGTTCGGAATAGTAAATAAGAATGAATTCAAACATTTATTGATCTAATTTTTTTTTTTGACTTCCACAAAAAATGATTTCGCGGAATTTACATAAAATAATATGCGCTTATAACTTAGAAAAAAAAATAAACTATACGCCAAATATGCGAATAGACACAAAACATGCAAAAACATGCTCTATTAAACTTTAGATTTTTATTACAATTGTTATGAAACAGATTTTTATCTCAATTAGCATATATTCCGATGTAGCAAAGAAAACATGCAAATGCATGAACTTACGAGCCTTGATTATAAGTATTTAATATGTTTTTAAAAAATATAAGTTAAACAATAGTATTTTAACTCTTAAATGTATTATTTAGTCAAGAAAATAGTACACTGTACGGATAATAAGGTGTGCAACAAATGACAGCTCTAGAGGGAAAAAAAATTTTTCGATGTTTTGAAACACTGATACATCGAACACATCGATATTTTCCATACATCGAACATCGATGTTCAAACAATTTTGCCCCTTCCTTGTACATATGGTACTACCAAATATTATTTTTATTCCTCGTTTCACTTGCCACAAAAAAGAATTAGATTATTCAAAATCATCTAAAGAATTTATCTCTAATAGGTAACCATTTTATTTAAAAAGATGGAAAATAAGACACTGCAAATTATTTTTATCTAGATAAGATTTTATGTACTTGATAGAAAAAACAATTCTAATTGAAATAAAATGATTTTTGAAAGTGGAAATTCTTAATAAATTCAAGCCAAATTAGAGCACATATTATAGTTTATTAAATATTTACAAAGTACAATCCTATTATAATTATACATAAAATATTTGCATTGTGTTCGTGTGTATAAGTATTTAGGAAAACATATATTTTGATAAAATAAACGTAAATATACAGCTTTGTGGACAGTGCGGTTTAAAAATAATGTTCACTATAATATTTAATACTGCACAAACCACAAAATATAATTAATTTAAAAAAAAATTTCATTTAAATATATAATAATTATAACAACCATGACCTTGATTGACTAACTTAGAATAATTCAAAATAAAATCATATAATTGTATTTAATTAAATTATTTTTAACTATAAACTATACATTTAAATTGTATATCCCGCAAACAAATTTAAATTATAATTAATATACTTTTTAATTAATATGTGGGAATAACATTCAACTAACTTATTAGTTATTTATTATTATAGATTATAACAGATATCAAACACGTAAAATTTAAATCTTTAAGTACTTACCATAGAAAACATAACACATCATATTAAATTATAAATTATTGTCTACATTTGATCAATACATTTTTAAGTAAATAGAGTTTTTTCGTTAATAAATATTTGAATAAGCAATGTAATTTAAATGTCAATATTGTAACAAAATAATTGTTTGAAAATAATAACGGACATAATTGAGTTGGTATGCAATTATTATAACCCCTATATTAATCTTTAAGTTGGATTTTAGGGGCTCATGTTTCACATTTTAACTTGTCAACACTAATTAATCATCAATAAGAGCTTGGCATTAATAACTGGGTTCGATATCAGATAACGATGAAATTAATTAAGGTTAAATTATATTCAAAAGATTTAGCTAAACTGATATGAAAGAAAACTGATTTGAATTAAAAGTTTTATTTTTTGTCGTTCATATAACATTTTTTTATGTAAGTATAATTTATACAATTTTAATTATGAAATAAATGTAACGCATTGCTAACTTGTATTTATAGAATCAAGTAACTGCAAACACAATGCTTTACATTATAACTCATAATGTAAATTTATTATATAGTAAGCTAAAACTTACGGAAAATATGAAATTAATGATGAATGTGTTTTCAAAGTAAGGCGTTCAAAACAATTTGAATAAAAATAGAATATTATTTGTGATAAAATAATAGCACAATTTATACTTTCCAGGCGCTTAGATACCAAAACCAGCTACTGATGATCTATTGCAGTGGTCTTCAACCGGTGGATCGCGATCCAGTTTTGCGTCGCGTAAGCTTTAAGATTGGATCACGATAAGTTTTCTGTTTAAAATTCATGTTTATATATGTATTATATAGTGTATGCCATATGATATTGCATAAAAATGTTTTCGAATAAACTCGAAATCGTACTACTTTATACTATTTTAAATTTGTAGAAGATTAGAATGAATACTTTTTTCTCAAACACTCATACTTAATTAGAAAAAATCTTCAAACTAATATGCAACATATACCACTAATCATTAACTGTCAAACACAGTGGAGGAGTGTAAACAATTTACTTCAATACACACTGACTCGAAAATGCAATCCAACATAGTAAAAGTACTTAACAAAAAACAAACTCTGAAAATAGTCATATTATTAAGTATCACAAATATTATATTAGTAAATGTTAATTTACATCTAACTTCACCTATATAATAGTTCATGTGTAATATTGTAATTTTAAATCTAACACCGGGCTTACATCACGATGGCAGCTAAAAATAAAAAAATAAAAGAATAAAAAAAGTTATTATAAAATTTAATATAGACTATGTAGTAACTAATGCGTGCAATGTACACGAATTTAAAATTATAACTGAAACGTTATTACCGTTCTGTGAACGATTCGAAAACCGAATGTTCCAGATCGAGCTCAGATAGTTTTACGGAAATCTGTACGAAGACAGCGACCCAAGATCCAACCGTGTTACAAACTGGTACACGCAATCAAAGCGGCGTAATCACGGCATTTGATCGTATTAACGCGCACGAAGGATGTAATAACGATTTTATCTAAGCCAAACATACGGATGGAATGGAGCACGCATATATACCAAAAGCTCGGAGTTTTACGGTTAACCGAAAAGCAATAGCTCATACATTTCAATGTATCCGCGTGTAGTAGGTACAACAACGAAAGATGATATTCTATTAACGCGAATCGGTTTACGCACATACGAGATAGAAAAACATAAGCGTTTCATCCCTTATAGAGAATTTTTTATCGGACACTATACGAGTGACGCGGAAGGGTACGCATTTCAATGCGTTCCCCTTAGAGTCTATATTCTATACCATAAACGTTTACCGATAAACGCGGTCACGTGTTGTAGCGTTTATTTCGGCCTGCGGTTCACGTTCTAAGAATGCATCACATGTGTTCCGTAAAGACTCTACTCGCCCATGAAACGTAGATGGGGGAGGGGAATAATAAACCCTGTTTGGTCGCTACAAATATACATGTGAATACAGGTTATATCGGTGGTACGTAATATTATTATTATTCGAATCGGAAGTCTTGATCTGGGTCGAATGCGTACCGCGAAAGCATATATTCGTAGTAAACCAATTTTACTGTATTGTACACAAAATATATTGTAATAATGATAATAATAATAATGGTAATAATAATCGTGTCGTATGTTGCAGCGCAAACAGGCAGCGACAGGTTGACGGGTGGATAGGGTTTTTTTTTTGTTTCTCTTCCTTAAACTTGCGTGACCTGCGTGGTGGTCGGGTTGCCGTGCGACTGCGCCTGCGACTCGGCCTTGGATATCCAGGACGGCAGGAACAGCAGGCTGAACGTGTTACGGAACTGTCGGCTCATCACGCAGTACAGTATGAAATTGATGGCCGAGTTGACTAGGGCCAGCATGTCCATGACCTCGCCCATGTTCTGGTAGCAGTCCTGGAAGAACCGTTTGCCCAGGAGCAACGTGAGCAGTCCCAGTATGCCCTGCGGGAACTCAGTGATCAAGAACAACATGAGCACGGCCAGCAGCATGCGCGTAGTCCGGTCCGTCTGTCGCTCCTTGTCCGCCGACTTTCGCCCACTGCCCGTCAGCTTGGCCCGCCGTCTCTTGGCCTCCAGCAGCGCGCAGATCAGCCGCAGACTGAGCACGGTCAGCGCCACGCACGGTATGATTTTGATCACCACGCTGTACACCCAGAAGTTGATGTCGGCCAGGCACGTTGACATGGCCAGGTCGCTTACGTTCACGTAGTACAGCGTCACGTTGCGCAGTTGCTCACCATCACCGCTGCCGCCACCGCCGGCCGTTAGCTGGCTAGCCGCTGTCGCAGTCCTGCCGCCGGTGCCGATGCTGCCGTTGGCCAACGTCGATCCGATCGCGGTGGCCGGCCGGTTCCCGGTCGAGTCCAGTGTTTCCACCCGGGAGAACAGGTTGAACGACAGGTAACTGGGTATGCAAATGATGGGGCACACCACGTAGCCGAGCGCGATCGCGGACAGCGTGGTCTCCATTCTGCACCATATTCGGTTTATCTGCGGGTGCACCACGGCTACATACCTGCGGAAAAGCCCCAGAGAAAAACCAATATTATTAGATAGAATGTACTTCGCGAATGTAGCACGCTTCTTTCTGATATTTCCTCAACCACGCGGAAAAAACAATTTACCGGATAATATACGATATATTCTAGCGCAAAACGGTTCAACCCGCGGTCCTTGAAGCCATTTTTTCTTTCATAGAACACTTATATTAAAAAAAAAAAGTTATAATTGTGTTATAAAAAAATGTTCTACGACTTTTTATGTTTTTTACTATAAAAAGGTATATGTGCAATCAGCAACGTCCATAATTGAATTTAGTTCACCATGTACGGTATGAAGGTATCGCGTTTTTTAATAGCAGCCACAGTGAATCCGATTTATCGTCGTGGGATATCGTGGAAGTCATTATTATTGTTACAGTCATAATTAGGCGGCGATTATTGACTACAGGTTTTACTCTATTATTATATTATTTTTTATTTTTTGTTGGTCTTAAGTGTTTTTATGAGAGTGCAAATGAGCCCGTCAACTACAATAGGTTGGACCACCCTGTTCTAGAGGATCATTATAGCTGTTAGTTCATGTTCAGTTTTAAGATTCATTGTTGGCATTAGTCAAAAGATTTTTTTTATTTCAGTCGTGAAAATCATTATCACACAGTATAGTGAAAGTTTCAGCCTAGCGGAACTTTAGAGAATCACGAATTTCATCACATCACCATTATTATCGGTATACGCGTAATTTATGATGCAAAATAGGTAACGCCGAATCGGCCCGAAAAAATATGTATTCAGCCTAAAAACATAATATACTTGTATATATAATTACGTTTAAATGTCAACATCGGTGTTATGTATCTTCTCTCGTTATATTAATTAAAGTTATAATATTATATTCTTAAATTCATTTTAAGAAAAATTAAAAATAGTTTACGGTTTTTTTAAAGCGAATGGCCGAGGGTTTTTAAAAACTGATGGTGAAATAGGAAAAAAAAGAATATAAGTCTGAATACTTGTAATGACACCATGGAAAGTAAAATATGGTGGGATACGACTATTTCCGTCGAGAGTGCGATGTGTGCTCCTCACAATAAGACGCCGTTAATCATCACGTAGATTTTCTATATAAGTAGTTTTATTATTGGTGGACGGGTTTCTCCTTATTTACGTCTCGTGATACGTACTAAAAAATATTCATCTCACATTTTGTGCAAAACGTTCATAAACATTTTGAAATGAAATTATCAAGTATTTCCAAATTTTCCTTTAAAATTAATCGAAAAATATAAAACTCACGAGGTTTTGATGTGTATACGTGTATATTTAAAATCGATTGATCACTCTGGTACAAAAGTTGAGTTACTTCAGCTTATATTATTGTAATAAATATTTATATTTACGTCAATGGTTAATAAAATGTACAAATACATTTATTCGTAACAAATTTTAACAAGTAACTTTCATAAACTGTAATTTGTATTCTATTTATAACCAATAGAATTTTCACTTCAATATTTTTACCAATTCACCAAACATTTTACTGTAGTAAGTTTAGAAAAAAAAAAAAATAAAACAACTTTCTTATTACGCCTAGAAAATGTCAAGTCAAAGTGTGAAATTTATTTTTATTTGACATTTGTGTGTTGTTATAAAAAATACCTTCACGCATTTAATGTTCGTTACCTACTCGGGAGTTGTTAATTTTCAATCGTTAAATCGAATTATCGTGTTAGGGTTTTTCGCAATACTAATCCGTAGAGTAGGGAGTCCCAACTTTTTTTACTTAATGTCGTACTCGATAATTTTAAAAATTTCCATGGCACACTTAAATAAATTATAATGTAAAATGTATATATGAATACACAAAATAAAAATGTAATGTGATATTTGAGATTGGTGATTTTTACATAATTCCTCTTTTAGGGGTGAAACAGTTGAAACAATACAAACTGGTAAAGGACAATCAATATCACCATTCCACATAAATCCAAAACATAAATAATTATCAAAATATTTACGTTTACATTTTAAATTTAATCTTTTATCACTTATTAAAGGTGATTGCTTAGTATTAATTTCAATATTTAAATTTTTGTTATTTACACTAACATAACTGTCATTCGTTAATTTCCGCTTTTTTAAAAATCTATCCATTTTTAAATTTAACTTAAATTTTCTTGATCGAAATATCGTTACAATATTATGTGTAACAATTACACGCGCACAATTATCATTGTAATGAGCAAAGACTATGTTTTCATTAAGTCATTATAGTATTTGGTGAAAGTCAACCCAACTGCTTGAAATACCCATATCGGGTAGAATTGGATACTAATATAATATTAAAGCTGTTTTATCTAGATTTTTTACCATTTTTTATTTTCAAGAGAATTTCGAAGTCAATGCTATCATAAATGTAAATTATAATTTTAAATAGTATATTTAGTACGCATAGTATGACAAAAATTATACGGCACACGTGTGTGCCCCGTAACAGCGGTTGGGAATCCCTGTCGTAGAGTGTTGAGTGTTTGTTTGTTTTTATTTATAGGCAAACTGATTTCTTTAATGTTATTTCAAATTCATTGAACGATTGCATTGATTTTCTTATAAGTATAAATTGAAAAAAAAATACGTAGAAATCATATATAAATCCATATGCCTTTATAAAGTAAATTAAAAGAAATTTAAATTAACAAATTCAAATGTTTAAGTGATAGACAATCATAATGTTGAAGTTCTTATTTCCATTCTATATAAGTGAATTTCATTGGAATAAAAATATTTATACACTTTCTGATAATAAACATAAATAGGCAATATGAAATTTATACATGTTACTTATTCGTTTAATTTTTAAGATAAAATATCAAAATATTGTGACAAACCAAAAAGTAAATATGATGAGATTTCACCAATGACGACCACTTCCTTTTTTTTAAAATTAAAAACAAGCCGTGTACGAGGTTTCCAAATGCTCAGAATGGTTTTTGTGCTTTTTGAAATGTACGTGTATTTCATTTAGAATATGACCATTGTTCTTTTATGCGTGTAAATTCGTGTGTTTCATGCATGTGAGCATTATATATTTATCATTTGAATAAAGGGGACCTAGTCGAAAGTTACAGATTTGAAAATTAATAATACAAATGCTACAAGGTCATATTTCAATACCATCACACATAGGTTATAAATTATTACCATTCGGTTCAGCGATGTATTCAACATTAAATCGGAATAGTATGTCGACCGAGTATGTATACACGTCATATTACATCCACGCGGTGCATTATTTTTTATTTACCAAGAGTGGTAGAAAGGTGAGTGAAATGCGGTTGTCTCTTTTTTGTTTACGCGTTTTAAAAAGCAACGAGCTGTCATATGATTGTTTGCAATTTCAAAGCATTCACTCTCGTATGCACACTATTAGATTGCTGGTACACTTTTGATAGCAATTTATTTTTTCTTCGCCAGCACAGCAGGCCGTCATAACTTATGGAATCACATATGTGTAGTTTGCGAAAATAATTAAAAGTTTAGAATTATTTGTACATCATAAATAGCAGTCTGTCTAAGAATGATATTTGCAATAACTCTTATCAACTCAATCGTCTTTTTTTCAATTTTTCCTACTTTCCTTTACTTATGTAAAAAAAAAAAAAAATATTGCATTATATAAATATACCGTAAACTTTAATTATTTTTGATAATTTAAATAAATATAAAAGTTTCAGCATTATACAATTTATTATGTGGAGCTTTTTTACTATAGTAATTGGATGTGTTAATAATTATTACTAATAATAATTATTATTATCAATAATTATTACTATAATTACTAATTATCATACATAAACTCTAAATTAACTTATCAAGTATTATTATTTATAAATTTCAACGAAATTAATTTAATTTTCGAACATAAAACAACTGATTAAAATAATGTGATTTACAAACTAATAAACTATATATTTATTTAATTAGTGTGTTTAAGTTATAAATTCAGTTCACACTTTGTCTGCTGCACACATATTATGACGCTCCACTTAATTGTTGCGATATTGAATCTTTTCGTATTCGAATTTAATAACATTTACGATGTTAAAAAAATGGCTGTCATTTGTTTTATTTAAATACGCAAGTGTGAATGAGTACGTCAAGTTCGTATTTTTAAATGTAAATCTAAAAATCTAAATACTTTTGTGCGTTGTAAAATATAAAATAATAAGTTCCATTGGAATAGTTGACACATTATCGCTACTACAAGCAGCGTCATTCAACCTTTGGTCAGAGATAATTATGCTACGACCCCTTAACTCAACACCGAAAGATAAGGTATAAATAATTCTGTTATAATTAATAACGGTACTATGCGCTCTGAGTGTCTAAACAAGTATACTACTGAAAATATTATCACTGATTCTGTATCGAATCATTCACAGGAATATGTTAGTATAAACAACTCCACGAATGACAAATAGCTAATAAGAACTGGTGAAAATCTCTTTCAATCAGAACTTTCCTAATGCTCTTCTAAACAAAAATGAAAAATAATTTTTAAGTGCAAAACTTTTCGAAGCAATAAAGCCAATCGAATTTACTAGTATATCTATATCCTAACTCTATTCTAGAAAAATTAGAGCCTGAAAAACAAAATAAGTTACCACCACCAATTTATTTGAAGAGTATAATTAATTTCTCAGACCTGTGTAAAGCTTTAATAGAGAAAACTGGTGTAAATAATTTCTTCTGTAAATCTTCGTCCGACTGTCTAAAAATACATACCGTATTTTACAGAATTCTAATTAATTTCTTAAAAAAAAAACCTTTAAATGGATTATCACACATATAAATATTTATTAACGGACAAAAAATCCACTCAAGTCGTCACACACAATGTGCACCCTATTACACTTATTCATTCAATCAATAAAATCTGAACTTAACTACAATCCTACGAGGTCAGAAAAGTTCCAAATTTTATACACAAAATCAACAAACACCTGCTTCCAAAATT